GTGATCACTGTCCCTCCATTCCTCCTTCCCTTGAGCCCTTGGTAACCTCTTGATCTACTTTTTGTCTCTAGATTTGCCTCTTATGGATATTTTGTATAAATGGAATCATACAATCTGTGGCCTTTTGTATCTGGTTTCTTTCGCTTAGCTCAATGTTATCAAGGTTCGTCCACGTAGCAATGTATCAGTATCTTATTTCTTTCATGCCTGAATAATATTCCACTGTATGGATATAGCACATTTTGTCCATTCATCAGTTGATGGCTGCTTAGGTTGTTTCTACTTTTGGCTGTTGTAAATAGGCTGTGAAATTTACATGCAAGTGTTTGTGTAGACATATGTTTTCATTTCTCTCCAGTGTGTATTTAGGTAGGAATGGCATTGCTGGCTCATATGGTAACTATGTTTAACTTTTTACGGAATAGCTGAAATGGCCGCATCATTTTACATTCCCATCAGCAATGTGCAAGGGTTCTAATTTCACTACATTCTCACCAACACTTGTTATTGTCTTTTTATTGTAGCCATTCTAGTAAGTATGAAGAGGTATCTCACTGTGATTCTATGATTTTGATTTGCATTTCCCTGATGATTAATGATGTTGAGAATTTTTTTGTTTGCTTATTGGCCTTTTGTGTATCTTCTTTGGAGAAATGTCTATTTAAAAGTCCTTTGCCTGTTTTAAGAATAGGTTATCTTTTTACTGTTGAGTTGTGAGAACTTATATATTCTGGATGTTAGCCTCTTATCAGATCTTGAATTTTTTTAAAATATAATTTCCTCTTCATTTTGGTATGTGCATGTATTTGTCTTTGGGAAGAGTTTCTCAATTTTAACTTCCAATTCTCTTAAATTTTTGTTTAGACTACCATATTATGAATGAGGCACTGAAAACCTGCTAGGACGTGTATGTGCTTGGGTGGGACTTACTGACTGGTTGACAGGAACAGGAGCTAGCAGATTTACTTTGGGCAGCCTCTAAATGTGATTGTTATAGATCTTCTCTGGAATGTTAGATTTCTCTAGAAAAAAAAATCTAGCAATCTCCATCCAAGATGGTTTAAGCCTGGCTGCCTGAGAGCAAGGTGGGAGAAAGGGGCTGGACTTTTTTTTGTTTTTTTTTTTTGAGACAGTCTTGTTCTGTCACCCTGAGTAGAGTGCAGTGGCATCATCTCATCGTAGCTCACTGCAACCGTGAACTCCTGGGATCAAGCGATCCTCTTGCTTCAGCCTCCTGAGTAGTTGGGACTACAGGCACGTGCCACCACGCCTGGCTGATTTTTTTCTATTTTTAGTAGAGATGGGATCTCACTCTTGCTCAGGCTTGTCTTGAACTCCTGACCTCAAGCAATCTTCCCACCTCGGCCTCCCAGAGTGCTAGGATTACAGGCATGAGCCACCACGCCCAACCTGGATGTCTCTTGTCTGTATGATATTTAGAGTTTTTCTTAATCTACACTTTCAGGATTTATATTTTTCCTATGTTTTGATTCTGGTACCATTTTCCCCAAGAATAAGTTTCCTGTTTTCTGTGGAGGTGGGAGAAGGGTGGATCCTCTAGGGACAGGAGGGGACTTAGTTCCCTGATGTCAGTCATCTGCTTCACAGCTCTCTTTTGAGGTGCTTGTTACCTTTGCTTTTGGGGGGGCTGTGTAGGGTGAATTGGTTTGCTCATGATCAGTATCTCCCTTTTGCAAGCATTCGAGTTTTACCTTCTTAGTCCAGGCAGATATCCAAGTTAGCACCAATTTATCCACCTTGTCAGGCTGGCAGTTCCCCAAGGATACTTGTGCAAAGCTGCTTCCATCCTGTTGAGAAATCACGGAGGGTGGGAGGATTGATGTCCTCTCTTAGGCTGGAAGGGAGGTGAGCTTACTAAATAAAGAAACAGCTAGTGCTTGGAGTTGTCTTGCCACTTAGTTTTATAGGAAGAAAGATTGGTAAGGGTTAGCTGGGAGAGAAGAGGTACACAGTTACCGTGGATAATGTGGCATTGAGTGTTAACTGTGAGCGGTGTCTCTTACATTCCTGGTTCTTTCAAAGAAATGTTTTTAATAACTTGTTCTGTTTATTTCTAGGTGACTCCACATGGCCTTACGCTAAACTTCCTCACATTCTTCACGGGCCTAGTTGATTTTATGCAACTGGATCCCAAGAAAGCTGGAACATACTTCTCAAACCAAGCAGTAAGAAATGTTGCACCTATCTTTTCTTGTTCCATTTGTGTCCCATTTGCTGTCCAGTGTCACAGTTAGCTTCAGGACAGGTCCTGGGAGTATGTGTGTATTGGTGTGCAGAGAGGAGATGAGGGGAATAATAGTGTTTTGGAAGGAACACTAGAAATTCCCAGTGGTTGGACTGAGATTAGGGAAGGAGCAGGTGGAGAGGAAGCAGCTTTTAGGTTTATTTATTTATTTATTTATTTATTTTTTGAGAGAGAGTCTCACTCTGTTGCCCGACAGCAACCTCAAACTCCTGGGCTCAGGAGATCCTACTGCCTCAGCCTCCCAAGTAGCTGGGACTACAGGCATGCGCCACCATGCCCAGCTAATTTTTTCTATATATAATATTTTTAGTTGTCCAGATCATTTCTTTCTATTTTTCAGTAGAGACGGGATCTCGCTCTTGCTCAGGCTGATCTGGAACTCCTGACTTTGAGTGATCCACCTGCCTTGGCCTCCCAGAGTGCTAGGATTACAGGCGTGAACCACCGTGCCCGGCCTGATTTTTTTTTTTTTTGAGAAACAATCTTGCTCTGTCCCCTGGGCTAGAGTGCACTGGCATCATCGCAGCTCAATGTAACCTCCAACTCCTGGCCTCAGCCTCCCAAGTAGCTGGGACTACAGGTATGCGCCACCACGCCCAGCTAATTTTTGTATTTTTTTTTTTTTTTTTTGAGACAGAGTCTTGCTCTGTTGCCCGGGCTAGAGTGCCGTGGCGTCAGCCTAGCTCACAGCAACCTCAAACTCCTGGGCTTAAGCAATCCTTCTGCCTCAGCCTCCCAAATAGCTGGGACTACAGGCATGTGCCACCATGCCCGACTAATTTTTTATATATATATGTATATTTTTAGTTGTCCAGATCATTTCTTTCTATTTTTCAGTAGAGACGGGATCTCGCTCTTGCTCAGGCTGGTCTGGAACTCCTGACTTTGAGTGATCCACCTGCCTTGGCCTCCCAGAGTGCTAGGATTACAGGCGTGAACCACCGTGCCCGGCCTGATTTTTTTTTTTTTTGAGAAACAATCTTGCTCTGTCACCCATGCTGGAGTACAGTGGCCCGATCATAGCTCACTGCAGCCTTGAACTCCTGTGCTCAAGTGATCCTCTTGCCTCACCCTCCCAAGTAGCTGGGACTACAGGTACATGCCACCACGCCCAGCTAATTTTTTATTTTTTGTAAAGACAGAGTCTTGTTATGTTGCACAGGCTGGGAACTCCTGGCCTCAAACAGTCCTTCCGCCTCGGTCTTCCAAAGTGCTGGGATCACAAACATTTTGTTTGACTTTTCCATATGCTGCTTGCTTGTACAAGCCAATTTTAGTTCTTACATACTAAAGATTTTAGTACTTACCTGATTAGCACATGGAGAGGTTTGAACGGCAGAAAGTCTTCTCCAGGGTGTGTGCTATGTGCCTCCTCCTGCTCATTCTGCCCTTCTTTCTGTCTAGGTCAGGGCCTGCATCCTCTGTGTTCATCCTCGGACCAGAGTTGTGCGCCTGAGCTTGCGCCCCATCTTCCTGCAACCTGGGCGTCCACTCACCCGGCTGTCTTGCCAGCACCTTGGAGCTGTGCTAGATGATGTTCCCGTCCAGGGCTTTTTCAACAAGGCTGGGGCCACCTTTAGGCTGAAGGATGGGATTCTGGCCTATGCACGGGTAAGGCAGCTTCTTTGTTTGGTCAGGGATCTTATCACTGGAAGGAGTTTTGAGACACGGGTCCTTTCTGCTTCCTTCATCCCTTGACGTTAGTTTATTTTCGGATATCCCCAAGTGTGACAGATTGTTCATAGTGATTAGAACAACATTTATTTATTTATTTTTTTTATTGAGGCAGGGTCTTGCTCTGTTGTCCAGGCTAGAGTGCAGTGGCACCATCATAGCTCACTGCAACCTCAGACTCGCAGGCTCAAGTGATCCTCCTGCCTCAGCCTCCCGAGTAGTTGGGACTATAGGCATATGCCACCAAGCCCAGCTAATTTTTCTGTTTTTTATAGAGATGGGGTCTTCCTCTTGCTCAGGCTGGTCTTGAACTCCTAGCCTCAGGCAATCCTCCCGACTCGGCCTCTGAAAGTGCTAGGATTACAAGTGTGAGCCACCGCACCTGGCTTTCTATTTGTTACGTTAGAATGCCTTAGAACCAACTTGCCGTATTTGATACTTGGTCAATGGTTAAGTATAAGGAGTTGGGATGAAGACCAGGGCTCAACAAAGTTTTTCTTAAAGGGTTGGATAGTAAATATTTTAGGCTTCTTGGCCATATAGTCTCTGCCCTAATTACTGAACTGTGTTGTTACAGTATGAAAGTAATTGTGGACAGTATATTAGTGAACGAGATGACTGTGTTCCAATAAAACTTTTGTCGACAAAAATACGCACTGGGCTGCAGTATACTGACACGTGACCTAGGCTGTTCTCTGATCTTATTGAGATTCCATAATGGTAAAAAGCAGTTTTTTTAGTGAGTAGAATTATTTTACCAGGCAAAGTATTGTTTTTATGGTAGATGATAAATGTATTCATTCATCTTGGTGTGCCTTAAGTCTGATTGGCTCAGCCCTCTTACCTCTGGCTTGTCCTAAATCACTTGGTATTTTGCAGCTCAGCCATCTCTCTGATTCTAAGAACACCTTCAAACCTGAGAGCTTCAAGCCAGGGAACGCTCACAAGTGTAGAATTATTGACTATAGCCCAATGGATGAACTGGCCTTACTCTCTCTGCGGACGTAAGTCACATGGGGATGTAGAGATGTGCACTTGCGTGTACGCGTATTCGGTTTCTCTTGGCTGTGCTTGGTGAGGCTTTCCTTTCTCACCAGCATGATCGTGGTAGGCCTGAAGTTTAGGCAATCTCTGCCCTAGTTTATTTAATCCCGTATTTTCCTTTTGTCCTAGGTCTATTATTGAAGCTCAGTACCTTAGATATCATGACATTAAACCTGGGGCAGTGGTAAAGGTAAGACCTCAAGCATATAATTAGATACTCCCCAAACTTTCAGGCATTCTTTGGTTCATAACTTACTGTCAGCTCATTAGTCCTTATGTTAACACATTGAAAGTCATGTTTCTTGCCTCTGCCTGTTAACTGGAATTTTTCTCTCTTCCCTTGAGTAACTTATAATTAATTTCAAGGTAAGGTCTTACTGGCACCACCCAACTACACAGAGGCAATAGATCATAAATCCTGGGGTTTGGGATTTGGTATTGGTTATTAGACCAGATCAAAAATTAGTACTCTGATAATTGTGCTTCCTAGGATATTAGTGAAAAGCCAATTCAGTTTTCTGTCCTCTCCAACCTTGTGGCTCTAATCAAGAAGCTCTCTTTGTATGTAGAATTTATACCTGAGGAGACATAGTCCCATCTTTCAGGGAATTTACTTGAGAGACACACTGAAAATATATGCTCACACAAAAAGATGTGAAGGTTCCCATAAATAACACTAACTCCAGGTCACTGTGGGATGTGTGCTTTACCCACGTGAGATCTGGAATAATGGGCATAGTTAGCCCAGGAAGGTGCGCTTCAAAAGAGAGATGTACCATGCTTCGCTGTAAGAGATGGGGGAAAGACCTTTCTTGAGGCATCACGGTGTGTTTTCTTTGGGCTCCAGGGCACAGTGCTAACTATAAAGCCGTACGGGATGCTGGTGAAGGTGGGCCAGCAAATAAGGGGCCTGGTACCTGCCATGCACCTGGCTGACATCCTGATTAAGAATCCAGAGAAGAAGTACCACGTTGGGGACGAGGTCAAATGCCGGGTGAGCCTCCTGCCGGGTCTCTGTTGGGGTTTTGACTAGGTTGGAAGAGAGCAGTTATCAGCTGAAGTTTCTGCTTTCTTCCACAAAGTGGGCACATAACATCTGCAGTGTGTGCAGTGCTGTGCCTCGCATTGGAAAGAGAAAAGTGAGTCCCTGTGCTTGAGAATTGTGTGATATAATTGGGAGTGAAAATATCTATACATGAAGTGAGAGCAAGCCAGCGTATGACCTTTTGCCACATGGTTTGGTGGACGTATCTCAGAAAGGGGAGGCCAGGTGGGCTTGAGTTACTGACATCATCAGTGGCAACTGCCATGTAACGTGTATTCTGCGCCAGATGCTATGCTAGGCACATGGTGTGTATTATTTCATGTAATCCTTAAAACAACCCTATAAATTAAGTACTATTATCTTCATTTTTCAAGTGGGGAAATTAAGGCCTAGGAAAATAGAGTATCTTGCCGAAAGTCGCACAGCTAATAACTGGCAGAACCAGTTTTCACATTCAGCTCTGTATAACAAGAATGTTGTCTAGATTTCTGGCTGAGGTGGGACTTGAACTAGAAGGGATGTGGATAAAATACGGAAGGTTGGGGAGGAGCACGAGGTGTGTTACAGGCACAGAAATAGCCCAGGCAAAGCTGCCAGAATGTGGGTGGTTTATAACAAAGGCTTGAATCGCAAGAGAGGCTTCAGGGAGTTAGAGATTAAACATGATCATACACACAGCATGCTTGGCATAGGGCCTGGTATGTACAGGCACTCAGTATGTTAGGTTTGCTTATATTCACTTTATTCCATCATTATTGACTCAGCAAAGTTTATCAATTGCCTGTTGTTGCAATATTTTTTAGTAATAGGGTCAAGGGTTAAAAAGGGAGGAGTTTCTCTGTCCTCAAGGAGATGACCTTCTGAGGGGTGAAAGATAGTTGGATCTCTTGGTCTTAGTTTACAGGTAATAAACAACGGTACGGAGGTAGTAAATTGATTAAGTCGTTTATTCTGTCAGACTAGATGCAAACCTCACTACGAGGGAACTAAGGTGGTGTAGAAGTTATTGTAACACAAGACTCTGCAGAGGTGCTGTAAATAATGAGTGTTGCCTTGTGGCCAGGAGGAAGTACATTTGAAATAGCGATTAATATGCCCTAGATTGTCATCCTAGCAGGAAGCAGGGAGAATCTGCAGCTGAAATTATTAGAGGAAAAGAGGTAGCAGGTTCTTGGACTTTGGGTTTAGGAGGTCACAGAGACCAGCTCGTGAGTCTCTTGATAACAGATAACTTGATGATGGCCATTATCCCTCCCCTAGGTATTGCTTTGTGACCCCGAAGCCAAGAAGCTGATGATGACTCTGAAGAAAACCCTGGTTGAGTCCACACTACCTGCCATTACCTGCTATGCTGATGCCAAGCCTGGTCTGCAGACGCATGGCTTCATCATCAGGGCGAAGGACTATGGCTGCAT